TTATCGTTGTGGCATTTTGTTGCGATGTTTTCGCGCTTCTTCACATCTCACGCGGCGAGCCTGAGAATCAAGAATACGTTCATCGAGGTCACGGAGTTCGACGAGGCAGCCGGCGCTGCAGTCGGCGAGGGTCTGCGACGCATTAGTTCGTGCCCTTCACTATTTGGTGGCCTTCGGCCCATCTCGCAACCGTGCCTGGTTTGTGGCCCGGGGGCCTCTTGGATGCTTGTTGCGGTCACTCGGGGACCTTTCGGGGGCTTCGTGGTGGCCTCTTGAGTAGGTGGGGGGCTTCTGGGCTTCCTTGGGGGCATCTTGAGGCCTCGTTTGGGCAATGTTTAGGGGAAGGTCGCCCAAGGCCCCTTCGCTTCTCCCTCTTGGGCTTCTCTTGTTTTTTTTGTTTGGCGAGGCCTCCTGGGCCATCTTGGGGACCCCTTGGGCCGTCTTTAGACAGTCGTAGGGGCGTCGTTCACCGTCTTCGGTCGATCTTGGCGGCCTCTTAGGCCGTCTGGGGCGTTCTGAAGCCCGTAAAGACGAGAACGGTACAATCCTTCGAACCTCGATTTGGCCGTCTTGGAACGCTCGTGGGCCGCGGACCGTCTAAAAGGCGCGCGAGAGGCCCCATCCCTGGGGCCTCTAGGCCCTGGAAGAATGCAGCGACCTCGAAGGGACCTGACGGCGCTCCGCTCAGTGCCTACGGCACGGAGGCGGATTCATCCAGAGCGACGGCTTCAACGAGGCCGCCTGCAGTCAGGACTCCGCATCATAACATCTACAACCGCGACCAGCTCCGAACGCTTCGCGTATCCCCACCAGCCCGTCCAGACTTATTCGTGAGAAGTTTGTCGTGGGGAGGGGAACAAGGGAGCAATAGCGAAACAAGGAGGGTTGCCGCCAACTCAAATAGCCCCCAGACATTACAAAAGTGGGCCCATCTGGGAATCTCTTGGTGAGCTCCCGCCCCCATTTTGAAGCTCTCTCTGTTTCCCTTGGGAGGTCTCTGGCGCCCCCTGAGGGGTTCTCTTGCGGCAGTGCCGGGGGCCGTTGTCCCAGACAGGGGGCCCCTGGATGAGGCAACGCCGAGGACATTCAAGCCAGAAGCCGGGGTCCTTGATCTGGCTCATTCCCAATAGTGTTTGGCTAGAGGCTTCGAACAGGGGTCGAAGATGCACTCCTCTAACCAGGGTCTCCACAGGGGAGGTGTGGGGGGGGGAGGCGTCTCACGGGTCTGGCGGCGCGTGCCGGCAGCGCTCGCTGGTTGGTGTTCTGGTTCGAGTTGGTCAGGACAGGAAGCTCACTGATGTGTCTTTGTTCGGTTTGGCTTAAAAAGAGGCTGACCTGGTTCGATGTCACCCTTCCCAGATCCAGTAATTGATCTTACTATGGTGCTCTGTTTTGATTCGCGGTCCAGAGATGATACTCAGGATTGCGTTCTGGTTTGATTTCCGTGTAAGAGAGCCTCGACAGGAGAGGCCGGGTGGGGGGCGTCTCACCGGTCCAGCGGCTGTCCGGAGTCGACTCGCGATTCACTATGATGTTCAGGCGCGATGGCAACCCTCGCAGATCCAGACATTAGACTTGCTCGGATGTTCTGGCTCGATTTGGTGAAGAAATGAGGCTCGCGATTTTGTTCTGGCTTGAGTGCAGCCCTCCTAGATCCAGAAACGAGACTCACTATTGTGTTCTGGTTTGATATGGTCCAGAAGTGAGACCCACAATTTTGTTTTGGCTTGAATTCTGTTCGAAGATTTCTTTCATCAGAGTCTCCACATGGAGAGGCGAGTGTTCTGGCTCGCGGATCCAGGAGTTATGCTAGCTATGGTTTTCTGGCGCGATCTGGCTGAGAAGTGAGACTTCGTATTTCTTGTGCTGGCTCGAATTCTTCAGCCTTGCCCATAACGCGTGTCAGGGCTATCGGCTTCTCACCATTGCAGCTGCCAGGAGTGGGGTCCTTTGGACCCTAATGCTGTTTCAAGCGCGTTAATGCCTTCATGCATCACGAACGCTGCCCCCTCTTCAGCAACTTCAGCTCCGTAATCGAAGCGACAATCTGAG